GTAAATGTTGGACTTGCTGAACTGATAGAAAAAAGAAACAATCTTCTGAGAGCAAAAAATTAATGCTGATGCTATTGGAAATTTTTCCGTGTGCTTTTTAGTGGAATTCATGCTAGTCAGAAAAATGCTATTGGTGTGGGCCAGTATTGAGTGAATGTAATTCAGTTTTAATCTTTCTTATTTTACATATTTTTACATGTGCTGTATTTTTATCATTTATTTTATACCCATCTGATTTGCCCGGTGTTGAATATTATATGTTTATAATTTGAAGGTGCTTCTGATACAAATAAAGAAAGAAGTAGAACTCATTTGCATGTACTTGAAATCTGAGTGACTGGTTTCAAATACATATGCTTTTATCACCTGTTAATATTTTAAAGATAGCTTTTCTAGTATTGTAGAATTATTATTTAATTTCCCATTGCACATTCAGTTGTGGTATTAAGCTAAGAGAAAGTGCAAGACCCAGAGAACATTCATAGACAGAGTTTTATACAAAGGACTGCAGACAGCAGGTTCTGTTTCGATATATCAGATCAATCTGAATTTCTGGATCACACTATTGTTTATAACAATGTGAATTCAGGAGAGAGTAAAAGAAGAAAAGAGGGCCAGTTATTTCCAGATTGTAGATATGTGCTGCATTTTTATTTCTTATGAAGTACATGGAAGGCTCTTGGAGATCCTGGCCTAATTCAATGCACTGCGTAGGCCAAGGGTCCTGTTATCATTACAGCATGAAAGTCTCACTTGAGACTTTCAAGAAGAAATTGAACTGCCATTTGTCAGAAATGGGCGGGAGGGTTGGACTAGATGATCTATAAGGTCCCTTCCAACTCTGATTATCTGTCTGTCATCCATGTAAGTGGTTGTGCAATATCTGTCAAATGTCTTCACAAAAAAAGGACTTCTGAATAACTTTCTTCTAAATTAGACTAGCAAACTATTGGAAAGTTTCCTTTTTACTAAGTCAGTGTAAGTTGGATATAGAAACACTTTGTAAACAATTAGTTAAAATTTTGGGTAAGGAAATAGATGCTAAGCTAGTGGGATTTTTTTTTTACACAAGCAAGAGGAAGTCCAGCCTTCCTATAGTTTGTCCCTGTGATTCTGTTAAAAAGGTGAAATTTAATTTGATATCTTAATATTTATATACAGTCTGATGCTTCGTAGAAAATTATTTTAAGAGTAAAGGTCACACCTTTTTATCCCATAGCATTTTGTTTGTGCCAAGTGTGAGAAACCATTCCTGGGTCACCGTCACTATGAACGGAAGGGGCTGGCGTATTGTGAAACCCATTATAATCAGGTATGGTTGCGTCTTGCATTTTCTGTTTTAAATCTCACCAAGGGATTCTTAATACCTTAAATCTAAAACTGCAGTTCATAAGAAATAATGATGATATATGCCTACAGCAGGAGTGTCAAACTCAAGGCCCGGAGACCAGATCTGGCCCACAGGGTGCTTAGATCTGGCCAATGGGGCCGACCTGGAAACAGCAAAGAACCGGCCCACAGTGCCTCTGCCAATGAAAACAGAACTTGGGAAGGTTGCATACGGCCCTCCTGAGCTCTGTTTTCACTGGAAGAGGGTTGCAGGAGGCCGTCACGGCCGAAAACAGAGCTTGGGAGCCTGATTTTGCTGGCAGAATGCTGGGGCCACCACAGGCACCCCTGACATGAATGACATCTGGCCATGCCGACCCCAGCCCTCCAAGGTAAAACACAAGTCTGTTGAAGCCCTCAATGAAATCGAGTTTGCCACTCCTGGCCTACAGTGACCATATGTCTTTTCTTTCAGAAAACTTCCTATAGATTTATTTATTTTCTTGGTAAAGCAAAATTCTAAATCTAAACAATTACACTTTTTACCTTTTACCTCTTTGAGATCTGTCTTATTTTCAGGCTTATCCTTCCCCCCACCAAAAGAAAATATGCTCATTTTTTGAAGGTATTAACAGTTTCCTAATTTCCATCTTATTTTTTTGTGAGACTAAAGCAAGTTTCAAATTTGAAGTGGGGGTTTGTGTATTTGTTTGCTCAAAACACCCCATTTCTGCTTTAAAAGAGTTAGAAGTATCTCTTCATGATCATTCTAGAATATTCTGCTTCAAGTATAAATCTAGTGATTTGAACTTGCCCATTTCAAGCTCAACACACTTGTAATAATTATAACCTGGTTTGAATCTAAACAAGTTAGCATGTGTTGAATGTCAGTACTTGAATTCATACTGTGTAGAAGCAGGCATTCCCATAGCTTTTCTTTTGATTATTTAGAAAGAATAGTAAAATATGTGATTTCCTAAACCAGTGTTTCTCAACCTAGACAACTTTCAGATGAGTGGACTTCAACTCATTTGAAGTCCTCCCATCTTAAAAGTTGCCAAGGTTAAGAAACACTGTCCTAAACCAAGATTCCCCAAAATTTGTGGGTTGCAAGATAAAAATGAGTCCCAAGTACAAAATAATGTTTTGGGTCATTTAGTATTTTGACTGAAAGGAAGCTCATTTTATAGAAAAGAAACTGATCAGGCTAAATGATGATTAGCTTGCTCAGAATACTGAATGGGAGAATTGGACCTCAAATCCAAAATTAGTCTTTTGAATTCACAATTCTCTTTCTTGTTGAGGTTCTCTTCCTCCAACTTTTTTCTCATCTTACTCTCACAGCATTCAAGATCTACTCAGTCTAGTTATTTTTCTCTCACCATTGCCACTTTTTCCACACATGCTTCACAGACCCACCCTTGCTCCTAGCCCTTCCTGTTTCTGAGCACTACCACTCCCTGGTTCTCCAAATTCAACTGCATAACATTTCTTCTTCTTTTTCTCTTAGAAAAAGTTGTTTTCAGAATGTTGGCATAGACTCAGAAGCAGAATGTTGGTCTTTAGCTGTTTGCCCTCTTGCTTTTTCTAAACTGAAGAATGCCACGGGGCTGTATACGTATTGTGGGGAGTGGAGGCAAGAAAAGCTGAAATTACTTTTAGGGCAGAAAAAATATTTTCAATTTGACAAAGATTTTAAAATCAAGAATAGCAGGCCAATCCGAGGTCTCTATGATGCCCCTAGTTTTTTTATTATTCAATTATACACTTTATATTAGTGCCCAATTGAGTCGGGACATATTCAGAGTCCTCCACCAAGTGATGACTTGGAGTTTCAGCTTTATTCATTATTACTTTTTACAGAATACAAAATGTGTCCCAATCCCTGAGAACTCTGGGTGGCATAAAACATCAACAACAAAAAAATAATTCAAAATTTAATCAAAAATACATGCGAACAATGTTCAAAATTTAAAAAAAATTTAATTGGAAACATGATTAAGAGTATATGAAATGGGTATGACTAACAGGGGACATTAGGACAGGAACGGTAGGCACATTGGTGCTCTTATAGACCTCTTAGGAATGGGGTGAGGTCAGCAGTAGACAGTCTGAGGTTAAAGTTTTGGGGATTTGGGGAAGAAACCACAGAGTCAGGTAGTGCATTCCAGGCATTGACAACTCTATTGCTGAAGTCGTATTTCCTGCAATCGAGTTTGGAGCAGTTTATCTTAAGTTTGTATCTATTGTGTGCTCGTATGTTGTTGTGGTTGAAGCTAAATAGTCATTGACAGGTAGGACATTATAGCAGATAATTTTATGTATTATGCTTAGGTCAGAACGAAGGCAGTATAGTTCTAAGTTGTCGAAGCTGAAAATTTCAAGTCTGGTGGTATAAATATTCTGTTACGAGCAGAAGAATGGAGGACTTTTCTCGTGAAATATCTCTAAACTCTCAATTGTATTAATATCCGATATGCAGTGCAGGTTCCAGACAGATGAGCTGTATTCGAGAATTGGTTCAAATTGTATTGAATTGAATTGTATTTGAGAATTAAATGGGGGATAACATCAAACCTTGGGACATTCCGCAGCTGAAAGATCATGGGTGTGATTTCTTCCTCCCTCCCTGATCAACCAAAAAATTACTACTGAGGAAGGAGACTAACCATTGCAATACAATGCCTCCTGCTCCCAACCTCCCACAGCCAGTCCAGAAGGATACCATGGATGACAGTATCAAAAGTCTGAGAGATCAGGAGCACCAGGATGAATGCACCACCCCTGTTGCAGCTCCACCAGAGATCCTTGATAGTAATCATTGCTGTCTCCCTACTATGCCCCCAATCTGAAATTCAACTGATATAGCTCCAGATAATCCGTTTCCTTTAAGACTGTCTAGCTGCCATCCAACGGCTTTCTCTACAGCCTTCCCCACAACATGTTTTTAATATGTTTCATTATTAATTTTACTTCTAATTCAAATTCTGACTCGGACTTACGTTTTCTCCATTTCCACAGCTCTTTGGTGATGTGTGTTTCCACTGTAACCGGGTGATTGAAGGAGATGGTGAGTTTCCATGGATATGTACAAGTAGTCTTTGACTTACAACCACAAATGAGCCCAAAATTTCTGTTGCTAAGTGAGAAATTTGTTAAGTGAATTTTGCCCCATTTTACAACCTTTCTTGCCACAGTTGTTCAGTGAATCACTGCAGTGGTTACAGCAGTGACACGGTTGTTAAATGAATCTTGCTTCCGTATTGATTTTGCTTGTCCGAAGGTTGCAAAAGGGGATTCCATGAGGCCGGGACACTAACGGTCATAAAAATGAGTCAGTTGCCAAGTGTCTGAATTTTGATCGCGTGAGCACTGGGATGCTACAATTGTCATAAATGTGAAGTCACCTTTTTTTTTAGTGCTGTTGTAACTTTGAATGGTCACTAAACAAACTGTTGTAAGTCGAGGACTACCTGTACTTTTCTCATCATTGAAACATTCATTTCAAAGTAAAATACCCCAAATACTATAGTCGTGAAAATACCCAAGATGCTGAACATGGGTCTGAAAGCATTTAATATATTTTATTTATATATTCCTACCAGTGATACACCACCCATTCCCTCAGTGGATGCACAATGCCTGATAGCTTCAAAACTTTTGAGCCTATGAAAATGTATGATTTATGATATGAAACATATGAAAGTAACAATAACATCAAAGTGTGTGCATCTTAAAATTAAATCTATCTAAGACAAGGGTCTTCAAACTTGGCAGCTTTAAGACTTGTGGACTTCAACTCCCAGAATTCCTGAGCTAACTAACGTGCCTGGAGGATGAATTCTGGGAGTTGAAGTCCACAAGTCTTAAAGCTGTCAAGTTTGAAGGCCTCTGGTCTAAGATAATATTATTATTTTCTATGCATATTCTTGCTGAGATTTATTCCATGTGACTTAATGAATGTAAATCCAGGGAACATCTTTATAACCCTAAGCATGTGGATTATTACTGTGGCAAAGATAATAATTATAACAGCAACAGTATAAATTGTGTCTAGAGCCTACAAGGCTTAATGTCTTAATGCAGCTCTCAATGGATCTTTCAAGCAATGCTTTTTTTCTCCTTTCAGTCAAACATGTCCATAAGTTGCCTTTTAATCAGAATAATTGTAGCACAATGGTAAGGGTTAGGCTTAGAGAGCCAGATTGATTTTGAGAGACTTAAGTTCTAATCTGTTTCAGGCAGCAAAAGCCGGTTGAATGATCTTGGGCCAGTTAACGTCTCTCAGCCATGATAGCAGACTTGGGCAACCAGCCAGTTATTCAATTCATGTTGCAAGGAAAAAGATAACAGTAGTGAGACAAATGTAAAATAAATGTAAATAGGCTTGCTTATCTTCAGCAAGGCTTTTAAAACCATATTCTAGGGAAATGGTTCTTTGGACACTCTTAGTCTTCATTATAGTAAGAACAGAGTTTTTGAATATAAGATTGTTTCCATTCGTGACTTTCAACATCAAGAGAATATGGATTGTGTTCTAGGCTTTTAAAAAAAAAAAGTTTAGACTACTGCTGATTAGAAATGCCCAATACTTTTTTTTCTCTAGAAAAAGTGGGAGACAATTTTTCTAAGACCTTCAGTCTATGATTGTATTTTAGGCACGGCTTAAAAGTTTAAATGAGACTATGAAGATTTCATAATATTGAAGTTATACTTTTGGACCATTTTTCTGGTGATCTATAGTAAATAGTGATTTTTTTAGTAAATGAATTAGAATATTTTGCTTATCTAATATAGTGCTTCATCTTGAATGCCTTGCAAACATATACAATAGCATGGTAGTTCTAGTAGAGGGTTGTCAAACTCCTAGCCTGAGGCCAGATGCATCACATGCTGGCCACACCCACACCTGGTTTAGTGAAGGGAGGGAAGTCCCAATAAGTCATATGACACTGCCGTTCTAGTAGATCTACCATATTTGTGCTGAAAATTCAGGACACCCACTAGGTGCCAACAGAGTTAGAGTTTGTAATGTCTTCAGTCTGGTCATCTAAGTTTGGGGAAATACCGATATCATAAGGCCTGGCAATTCCTGAATCATTCTATAAGGTGTTGTAGACTTTCTACTACAGAACACAGGGCAGACTACTTTAGAAAGATTTCCCTAAAAAAGAACATTTAAAAATTGTAGGCTTAAGCAAATGCAGTAAAGACAACAACACTTGGAAATAATTCTGCATGTTTGTTTTCGGCTGATAACAAATATAGAATATAAATACATGCTTTCAGTCTTTTTACAATTTTAATATGTTTAGAACCAATTTGGTGAACAATTGGGAAGGACTAGATAGTTACAAAATAATGTAAGGGAAGCCAGGTTTAATCCCTATATTAAACACTGGGTGGCAACAGCAGAAGAAACGACTACTTACCATGTCTGGGCTCCAGGCAGTAGTGCCTGCAACAGATATCCGTTCCAGTTCTGTCAACTGTCCTGTGACACCAGTTGCTGAATTTAGCCTGGAATCAGAGCATTTAGGACAGGAATAGACAAGCTAGTGTTCTCCAGAATTTTGAACTGCTAGCCCTGTAATCCCTTCCTCCTGGCCATTCAAGGTGAGGCTTACAGATATCGATTCACCATATCAAGATGTTATGTGTCCTGATGTAAGGGCTAAGTATGGTTGTGATGGTGCTGACAAATGTCCCTCATCACAGGATCAGTATTAAATTTTGCCTATGCAAATATGTAAAGTTAGACTACATGATGATTTGGACAACCTTGTATTTGTTTTTGTCAATATTAGTTCCATGACATAGGCTTTGAATGTATGATAATAAATGCAGTCAGTTTTGTTTGATTCATCTTGTCTTTTCTTTGCTCTTTTGTAGTTGTCTCTGCCTTGAATAAAGCATGGTGTGTAAACTGCTTTGCATGTTCTACTTGTAACACCAAGTTAACACTGAAGTAAGTATATCTGTTTATGGAGATAATCACAGAATTGATGATGTCACTTGTAAATTGAGGCCTCCCTTGGAAAATATTTATGATTGTTACAGCAAGTCTTGAGGAAGAGGTGAAGGACACCGGAGTCTTGTCCAAACAAGACAGAAGCTAGGTTATATTCTTTAATGCTGTCATCTTTCGTCGGTGTTTACTTAGTTTCAGCAGCTTATAATATTGTTTGCTTTACATTGTTGTGGAATAGAATAAGTAGAACTGTGTTGTGGAGAACAGATTACCATAAAGTTCTATTGACTCTGCAGCTGGATGGAAGTCAAAGAAGTTCAACAGCACAGAGCAGTTCAGGACACAGCAACTGTAAATGTAATGAGTTGTTCAGGTTGCTCTTTTAACACAAGAGATTCAGAGTATTCCCCCTCCCCTTATAGAATATCTGTAGTGCATTTGGGACATGTCTAATGTCTTTGGTAATCTTTGATATAAGACCACAGTTGCATCTGGAACTTCCATTGCTAATTTATGCAGTTGTCAATTGACTTGTGCCTGATTTTATGATCATGGGCATCACATGGACCACACAATTGTTAAGAAAATCTAGCTTCCATTTGGTTGGGACAAAAAGGATCAATATAGAAGGTCTCAGAGTATATCTTTAATAGTGTGTTTAGTTTGGCAAGATTTCTATGGATGAGGAACAATAAAGGAAGCTGCTTAGATGTAACTCTGCGTGTTTTTCTAGATTTTTGGAGCCTGATGTAAGTATGTGCCAGGTGCTTGAACTGTGATCATGTGATTGTGGGGATGCTGCAACAGTCTTATGTGCAAGGACTGGTCATAAGTCACTTTTTGTAGTTCTGCCGTAGCTTTGAACTGCCACTAAATGAATGGTTGTGAGCCGAGAACTCTCTCTAGAAGAGCTGACCTTAAAATGTTAGAAGTGTACTCCATGGAGGAATGCACTTTTTAAAAAACTTGCTGTGATAAAAGTATTTTGTAATAATTCAGTCCATGGAAAACAACAAGGATATCTTTTCCTATGAGTATATTCACTACTTTCTTTTTATTTCTATTTTTCTGCAGAATTCTTTCTACTTTACTTGTATCTTGATTCTTTCTTGTTCTCTCCTCCTTTCCTTCTTTGCTCAACCTGAAAGGGACAAATTTGTTGAAATCGATCTCAAACCTGTCTGCAGGCACTGTTATGAAAAAATGCCAGAAGAATTTAAGCGGAGGCTTGCCAAGCGGGAGAGTGAAGCCAAGGACAAGGATAAACATAAAAAGAAAAAACCTGTCTGTCTGTAAAGCTTTCCTTTCTACCTTTCACCAACTGTGCTCCTCCCTTTCTTTGGTTAGTTTGTGGAAATGTTTCCTTTATGCTTCTTTTATTCCAGTGCTCAAAACTGTTCTTTTTTTAACTATCTAAATGTTTAAGTTCAACACATTTAAGTCCCAGGTCTAGACTGATAGGCCCTGTTCCCTGTGATCAGACTTGCCTTTTCCTCCCCCACCTCAGCAGTTTGGCCCAAGAAAAATCCTTGATTGAGAAATGCTTTTCTGCAGGTACAGGATGTACTCTTTCTGCCAAAGCAGATTATATGTTGTAATTCATGTGGAGATTTATATCGAAAGTGGATTCTTCCAGATAAGTTTGGCTTTTGCTTTGCATAGTTCATTGTAGAAGTGTGAGTGTAAAACTTTGTATTTTAATTTGTCATAGCCCTGTAATTTCTGCTGTATCCAACCTATTTGTTCCACGTCAGTTAAGGAGGAAAAGATAAAATGGCTACCTGAAATCTTTTGATTGGTTCCCAAAGCATCATTTACCTTGCAGTCACGAAACTATTGGTTGAAATTCATTATTCATTCATTCAGAACAAATCTATTGAGAAAAATGTGCAATATATTAACTTAATACATATCTTTTTAAGGTAATCAATTTATGAAGGTAATCAATTCTCTCTTCTAATGTCAGACATTAGAAAGAAAGGCTTTAAAGAAAGTTATTTTAAAAAGCATTTTATATCATGTGCTCCAAGTGTGAAAAATAACCTTTTACCGTGGAGATCAACTTTTAGTTTATATAGTCTCAGGATGTGTAAAGTCATTGTATATGTTTTCCATTAACACTATCCATATAATTCTACATGCTAATGTTAAGAGGTGAGAAAGAATTCACCCTTAAAAAGAGAAATGTTTGGTGAAACATTATCTGAAGCTTGTAGCTCTCTATTTCACACATGGCTCCGGAGTAGAGGGTGCAGTTTTAAAATCATTTTTAAATCACTTTCTTATGCAAATATTAGTACAAAGAAGCTATACATATGATCAAATTATACTGAGAAGGCTCCATTCAAAAGTTAAGTAGGAAAGGAAAAATAGAAATGGGGAACCATTAGCCTTCTAAATACCAATCTTTTCTCAAAGTTGCAGTCGTATCTCCAGGATCAATTCATTCATCAAAATCAAGCATGTCAAATTTGCGCCCATGGGCCAGATGAATCATGCGCTGGCCAAACCCACCCCCGTTTTAGCGAAAGAGAAAAAGTCATGATACATGACGTAATGTGAGTTTGACACTCCTGATCAAAATAATATACGTCTCAATGAAAGACCCCCCATCCATTGCCATGTGCACACAACATAATAAGTGTGATTATAAAACCTTGCAAGCAATGCTGCTTTCATTCATGGCACAAATGTTTCTGCAACACGTTTCAATGCATTGGTCATACTTTTCCTATCAACAGATTTTTGCTGCACTTTGAGAACTTTCAACCACTTTGGAAAGCAGGGCAACATTGCATAAATTAACTGAACAGGTTAGTTCTTCCAGCTGCTTTTATCAGCTGTCAAGGATGACCAAGCATCACACAGTTGGCTTTTGGCAGCTGATTTCATTGATCTTCAGTTCTTTGATGTGCTCTTCCTGTTAGCAGCTGTTCCAAACAGTTGGAAGTTTTAATTAGGTGCCTAAAATGCTCATCTTCCACCCTTAGCAGTTGGCCGAAGCAGTCACTGTTTTTCAAGAGCTTTCCTGGTTCGTAAACATCAAGATGGCAAAACTTATGAAACTGACAAAGAGTCATAGAAAACTTAATTTTTCTGTATAATACTGTATATTGGAAGATATGGTGGTAAAGAGAATCATGCCAGAAACAAAATATGGTATTTATGCTGAGGTAGGGTGGTTTTCTGGGAAAAAAATAAAATAAAACTATTCTTACTATAGCAACAATATTCTTTAGTTTTAATAGGATGGAGAGATTTATTGGAATGTGTTTTCTGACAGATGTTAAACAAGTCTCGGATTGTATAATGTTCTGCTCCTGATTTAAACTGAAATTTTTGAGGACTCATTTTTAAATGTATGTATGTACCGTGTTTCTCCAACAATACGGCCTCCCCCAATAGGAAGTCCCAGCATGTTTTATAGGCATAAAATCAAATTAAGCCCCTCCCCCAAATTAAGGCCTATATTAAACATGTGAAATGGGGGGGAATGGCAGGGGGGCCCTTGCCATTAGGAAGTACTTTTGTTGCATACCCGGATATGGTGCTGCCTGCGTTGACTTCAGCGTTGGTGGGGCACTTCGTATCGGGAGACCTTCTGCCACCGTTGCTTTCCCTTCTTCCCATGCAACCGGAGCCTGGCGGAGACACTCGGCTTCAGGCGCTCCTGTCGCCGCCTTCCCTTGCTCTGCCCGGTGCCAGGCAGGGATAGCAGCTGGGCGCTTCTCCCAGGGTGGGCCGATCCTGCGCTGCTGCCCCGGGAGATTTGCCTCCCCATGTGGGGTTGGGCTGCCCTCTCGGGCAGGGGAGGCTTTGTCGTACCAGTAGTAGGGCATCGTTTTTAAAAGAATTGGCTTTGCCTTCGAAGGCGAAGGGAAGGCAGCGACAGGAGCGCCTGAAGCCGAGTGTCTGCCAGGGTCCGGTTGCAGGGAGGAGCCCTGGCTGGCCGCATGTGGCTGCGCCAAACGCCGTGGTGTTGCTCTAAACGCCGCGGAAGCACAGGGAGAAGGGAAAGCAACGGTGGCGGAAGGTCTCCCGATACGAAGTGCCCCACCAACGCCGAGGTCAACATCCAAGCCGTTGCCGCCCACCCGCCTGAGGATGCAAGGGGGGGAATTAAGTCACCCCCGAAAAGACGGCCTAGCCGTTTTTTCGGGGGTCAAAAAAAAAATAAAGCCTGGCCTTATTTTGTGAGAAACACAGTATGTATGTATGTATGTATGTATGTATATGAAAATAAGTTAACTTATGGTTAACTGTGAATATTAATTTGTATTGTGATGGTTAATTTTCAACATTTTTTTTCAGAAATAAATTTGTGGAATTTGATATGAAGCCTGTCTGTAAGAAATGCTATGAGAAGTTCCCACTGGAGCTCAAGAAGAGACTGAAGAAATTGGCTGAAACTCTAGGAAGGAAATGAGATATTTCATCTTGCTATGCAAATTTAAGGAAATGAGATTCATATTCCCACTTATTTTCATTGTGTCTATGAAAATCTATGCTCTTAAAAAAAATCCCTCTGCATGACTAGCTTAATATAAAAATATATACCTTGCCATAAAATCTTTAATGTCTTATGTAATGCTATATGTACCTTTAAATTATGTATTCTATTTTTATATAAATTTTTAGATAACTCAGTCTTAAGTGGAATATTAAAACATAGCCTTTAAATTGCAATAGAGATCACTCTATTGGGCCACTAGTGCTGATCTCAAATGAATAATAACCTAGCATAGCCGCCACTTATCTAGAATTTTCCAAATGTGCTGAGCTTTTAATTTCCAAAATTCTCAACCAACCCAACAGATTAGGAAAGCAAATTCTCTTGGCTAAAAATCCAGATTTTAGGAACATGTGCCTGCCAGGAAGTGACTGCTGGAGCAAACCAAGTAAACCTGTAAAGCTGGCAATTTATAAATACTAACCTGTAAAATCCCATTGAATTCAATGGCTTTCAGCTCTGTAGACAGATATAGGATTACATGGTTAAGGATATAGAAAAATATTAGAAAAATTCAATACAGGTCAGGATAATTTAAAAAAAAAAAACCAGACTTGTGGCACGAGGACTTTGAAACATATTTTATTTAATAAATTTTATATTTCATATTATTTAGAATCAAAATGAGATGCATTTCCTTTGATTCTAAACTGTCATCTCTGGTGTTAAAAATTATGAAACAAAAGACTAGAGATTTTTTTTGTAGGCAGTAAGTTCTTGTTTAATCTTAGCTTATGAACTGATAAAACTATAGTTTTCCAATATTATATTGCTGTCTTAGGAAAATGGCAACAGCAAACATTCTCAGTATTTAGAAAGTTTATATTTTATCAGGATATCTTGTTGATTCTGTCTGCTAGCTTGACAGAAAGAATTCAAGTTATTGAGATATTTTTTTTAAACTAGTCAAATTGGGGATGAATTGTGTACTAAAACCTTAGCTCAAACTATTACAAATGCAGAAATGATTTGTTCAGAAGTTTCTGATCATAGTAAATATTTGAGAACTATAGTGAATGCTTTCAGATTCTGGTAAGCCTGAAGCCCAAAGTGTGAGATGCCAACATATTTCTGTGTCAACAGAGGTCAACTACTTGAATTTTGTAAAGATTTTTTTCTTGGATCCTTCGGTATTTTATTTCCCTGTGCCTTAATTATGCTGTATATTTACAACATTAATCAAAATATTTACTCATATTACTTTATTAGAAAATATACGCCTTGTACTCTAGGAAGTAGCATATACTAAACATTTTGAACTTTGTTTTAAATAATGGAAAGTATTAAGGATGCAAAGCACACTTCCTTTCTCTCTTCAGCTCACTTATTTTTAAATTTTACATGAAATAAAACCTGAACATATTTCAATTATGGACATGCATTGTCTTAATGAATCAACAATATAGTGACAATCATTGGTTATTTACACTTAGGCAGGACCTAAATAAATATTGCAATCTTCAGAACTCAGAAATAAAATCCTTTGAGTTCAATGGTACTTAGCAGAGGTGGTATTCAGCAGGTTCTGACCTGTTCTGGAGAATCGGTAGTGGAAATTTTGAGTAGTTTGGGGAACTGGCAAATATCATCTCTGACTGGAGATTTTACAGTATCCTTCCCCTGCCACGCCCACAGAACTGGTAGTAAAAAAAATTGAATCCCACCACTGGTACTCAGGCTCATAATAATCAATTTATCTAAAATAAGCACTTTGAACTCAAAGGGATTTATCTATAAGTAAAAAAAATAGATTGCAGTTTTTGTTAAATAAATTATGATTTCCAAAGTACAATATATATTCTCACTAATAAACTATCTTGAATTTTACAACTGTGAAGTTTAAAAATGTTAAGTATAAAAAAATCTTAATGCTAAATAACATACCTATCCAAAATCAAGTATTTAAAGAGATTAAAGCATAAACCTCAATCCTATTTTATTTCTATAGTATGAACAATAATTAAAGCACCCTACTGTGGAGAATTGTAAAATCCAGAATGTCCTATAGCAGGGGTAGACAAACCCAAGGACAGGTATTGCCCTAGTGCAGGGGTCCCCAACCACCGGTCCGCGGACCGGTACCAGGCCGCGGAACAACTCCTACCGGGCCGCTGGCTTGCTGGGCGCCGCCATCTTTTTTTGATGAAAACGTGCTTCCGGTGAGGTCACCGGAAGCACTTTTTCGTCAAAAAAAGATGGCGGCGCCCAGCTGATGCCGGTACCGGGCCGCGGCGCCCAGCTGATGCCGGTACCGGGCTGCGGCGTCAAAAAGGTTGGGGATCACTGCCCTAGTGCATCTAAGCTGTATCACCAAAGTTCAACAACAACCCATGGAGATATGTCTCTTAAAGATAATTGATATGAAGATTCTTATATAGAAAAAAAAAGAAAAAAAGGAATTTTGCAAATATCTCTATTGAAAGTATTGAAGAATTCTAGCTTGGAAGCAGTCAGGTTTTCCATCCTACAGAAAGGATTATTTTGTGGCAAGGTTTAGAAATTATTTAAGAACCATCCAGGTGTTTTTATGTGGCACGTGTTCATCTATCTTTAGTTTTTAACTTGGTGGGGGAAAAAACTAGTGTGGAAGGTTGATAGCCTCCAACATGAGAAAACAGATGTGTCTGATCTATATAAAATTTAATGCACATAGATCAAATATGGATATTTATTGGAAAAACTATGTGTAATGCAGTCAAGTTGTATCCTAGTGCCATTTCTCCCCCACCAGTTTCCCCCACATCATCTATTGGCTAAGGAGCTACTGTATTCTGTTATATGCAGATAATATGGCTTTCAACCACACAATTTGGTTTATGCAGACTTTGAAAAGTTTGAGCAAATTGCAGGTTACAGTCTCATAATTAATTGTCAAGGACAGGAGCTCTCCTAATTATTATGGTGTTTTTGATTACAGTACTTCTCCAACAAATATTTTAAATTTCTAATATATCCAGTGTTTTTTAACTATCTCAGACTGGAGTTCCCCATCACTACTTCGGTATGCTCAGATAGATTAATGATACTTTCACTTTTAGACCTGCTTTTAACTCAGAGAAAGTGGATAAAAATAACTTCTTCCTTGAACATCTTGGAATTCAATCCTTCGTCAAGCTTTCCTCATGGACTCCCAAATTGTTCTTTCCAAATGCTTCACTTTCCACTAGCTAGCTAATCCACTGCACTTTTTTGATTCATCTTACTCCTCAGTTGCAAATTCCTCCTTGCAGTGATCCTTTCTCCAATTGTTCCTTGATTTACACATTACCAACCCACTGCATTTGCCCTTAGGTATTGCCACCACTAAAACCTAAATATACCTGTTCATAAATGACTTAAATTAGGCAAAAAGCATAGCACTGGGAAGGACAAAAAACCTGAACCTCGATTACTTTATAATGTCCCAATCAGGCAAATCACCTGGCCATCTACCCTAAAACCAAGATAATGGGTTTTTTTTTCTCAAAAGACAAACAGAAATGGTTTTTTGATGACAATATATTGGACAAGTAAATTATTTGAAGTATCTTGGTATTTATTTTTCCCAAAAGTAAACTTTTACTTTTGCCATGATCTCCACACATAACTGATGCTAAAATGAGGACCATGTCCCAAGGCTGAGGATGGAAACTCCGCCACTGAAGACAGGCTGAAATATATCTTCTGCAATTACATGAACTGTGGTTCGTCGTAGACAATAACAATGTTTTGTGGTCAGAGCCACAGTTTACCAAGCCTGCGCCCTCCACTTAATGAGCTCAGTAGAAGCATGCCTGACAGAAAAGCTAAAAAGATGAGAAAGGCTGCCAGTGTACTGGTGTTCATTGATATCAGCCAATGAACCATCTCTATGGCATTCCTGCTATTTCTATTACTCTTCAGAGTGACGAACAATGCAAGAATGGCAGGGAGTTAGATACATTCCTAAACATTAGTCTCACTATCTTCTACTGACTGTTAATTTTCAGGTCTGATGGAAAGGAAAAATCATGGTCTACCAAGTTGGCCAGATAACCTATCCTAGGGTCAATCCCTAGGTTAACCTATATACGAGCCGTGGTGGCACAGTGGTTAAAATGCAGTATTGCAGGCTAATTCAACTCAATGCCAGTTCGATCCTCATCAGCCTTCCATCCTTCCAAGTTTGGTAAAATGAGGACCCAGATATGCTGAGTCTGAAAACCGCTTAGAGAGGGCTGTAAAGCACTCTGAAGCGATATATATATAAATCGAAGTGCTATTGCTATAATGGGGTCTGAATATGGCTCTGAACAGCTATCACCCAGATCTTCTGCAAATACAAATACATTCCATTTATTTATCCACATTAATAAAAATTCTAAAGTTTTGCTAAGGTGGCAAGGGCTTGGACAATATAAGCCTTTCCGCTGAACCCTATCAGAAAGAAGACAAAGCTCCCATTAATACTTTCCAAGACTGATGAAATATTGTGAGAAAACAGGAATGTTAATTCTAAAATAAAAATAAAATTAAGTTATTCTGCAAATACCTCACATAAGTTCCATAACTATTTAACATTTGCCTTTAATTTCTGTTAAATGAGGCAGTCTGTAGAGGTTGTAAAAATAAGGTTTTATTACAGTACATAAAATATTTTTCATTCGAAGAGTGCCGTACCATAGCATATGTGGAAAAGAACATATCGTCTATGTCAAATATGTGGCCTTCAAATATCCATTTTGTGACAAAATAATAAAAGATACGTAGGAAAGGTGCAGCAGCGTTACTTTTCCACCAACGCTTCCTTCCTTGCTTCTGTCTGTGTAACCGCTCCGTAATTTACTAATTCTGTGCTATCAAGCCAGGGTCGCTTCTTACGACTAGATAAGTAAATTTCTCCAGGGTGTAAGAAGGTAGAAAGCAGCCTATTTTCCTTGCTGCCATATGTTCCGAAATAGCTTTCTAGATTTCGCTATCGTTTCCAAACGCCAATTCTCATTTCATTTCCCCATACACAGAAGCGTCGCTCTCACCGGGCCAGCGCCAGTGTATGCCAGTGTCAATCTCAGCAAACTTTAAGACGCGTGGACTTCAACTCCCAGAATTCTCCAGCCAGCACGAAAATGAGACAACCCGTCTTTTTTTTAAAAAAAAAAAATCTTTATGAAATGCGACGCCTATCATAGGTCACTTCCGCTCTCTCTCCCTCTTCTTTCCGTCGCGACCCTGTTGACGTAGAGAAGCGGTATTTAGTTCTGCGCGAGTTTGCGCGTTTGGTGGCGTCACCGTTCTGGGAGAGGTGTTTGCTTTCAGTCTAGCTCCGGCTCGGTGCGAGCGCTTTCTCTCGGCCTCGCCTGCCGAGAAGGAAGCTGGGGGCCGCCTTGAGTCTCCACCATGATGAGGCGCAGCAGGGCGGAAGTGGATCGCTATGTTTCCTCCTTACAGGCCTCGGCCCCTTCGCCGAAGGAGGTGAGTGAGGCCAGTTACGTGGGGGCGGCGGCGGCGGCTTTCCGCCTCCTCCCGCCTCGTTCCTAAGAGGTTGAACGGCGGCCGTTGATTGGATTTTTCGGCGGCCTTTTTCGAGCTGTCCAATGAAAACGAAGTCGCTGCCGCATGTGCGCGGAAGTGAGGACGCTTCGCCTCTTGGGGGGCGGGGGGCGGGAGCGTCCCATGCGTGTGGCATCTTTTCGGGGCTTAAACCGGGAGCGGGGCCGACTGCGACTAGCTGGCTGGGCTTTGAACTCCGTTGGCTGCTCGCGTATCTGTCATTTAAAATAAAAAAAACCACCTGTCGAATAGAAAACAAAAACGCGGGCTGCGCAGCACTCCAGAAACTGTCAAGCAAAGTTTCATGAATGAATTCTTTGAGTCTCGGCTTTTTAATTAAGGACTAAAACAGAGGTCTCCAAATTTAGCAACTTCAAGACTTGTGGACTTCAACTCCCAGAATTCCATGGCTGGCTGGAGAATTCTGGGAGTTGAAGTCCAACAAGTCTTAAAGTTGCCAAGTTTGGGGACCCCTGGACTTAAAATGACCCTAGTGGGCGATTTTCCTGGCAGTGAAGGGGAGAATGCCGTTGTATTGATCGGTCTGGACTTTAACAATACCAATGCGGTAGCCATCCATTCAGGATGGCTTGGTGGGGGGATGAATAGAATAGAATAGGAATGGAATGGAATAGAATAGAATAGAGAATAAAATAGAATAGAATAGAAAATAGAATAGAATTCTTTATTGGCCAAGTGTGATTGCACACACAAGGAATTTGTCTTGGTGCAAATGCTCTCAGTGTACATAAAAGATACATTAGTCAAGAATCAAGAATTGTAAGGGTTAATCATAATCATAATATGTAGAGTTAATCATCATAATGTAGGTTTACTGAAGTTTTTAATTCTTGAGAAGG